TCCTCCATTACAGCAAAAGTGTCTGTTTAACCTAACCTTAGTACAAAGTCTATTGGTGTCCTCAATTTTATAGAGGTTAGCCACCCGAAGTCAATAAGAGACAAGGAAATAATCAAAGCAGCCTAAACTGTTTAGCCTGACCGTGGTAAAGTCTAACAGGGGACCTTAAATTTTATATAATAATAATAATACAGGCAACTAACCAACCACTACCGGGCCATAACCTAACCACTACTTTCGCCGGAGGTTTCGTCGCTCCCCCGATGGCGAAATCTCCATTAAGTGTCTGTTTAACCTAACCTTAATTACAAAAGTCTATTGGTGTCCTCAATTTTTATAGGGTTAGCCACGAAGTCAATAAGAATAAAAGAAATAATCCAAAGCAGCTAAACTGTTTAGCCTGACCGTGGTAAAAAGTCTAACGGGGACCTTAAATTTTATAGAATAATAATAATACAGGCAACTAACCAACCACTACCGGGCCGCCTAACCTAACCACTACTTTCGCCGGAGGTTTTCGTCACGCTCCCCGATGGCAGAAATCTCCATTACAACAAAAGTGTCTGTTTAACTAACCTTAGTACAAAGTCTATTGGTGTCCTCAATTTTATAGAGTTAATACCACCCGAAGTCAATAAGAGACAAAAGAAATAATCCAAACAGCTACCACTATCTAGCCTAAACTGTTTAGCCTGACGTAGAGTTTTTTAATAAATCTGGTGATATGGAACCACACACAACCCCCTTAACCTGGGATAATGCAATCAAATGGATAATTGCTAACTATTCTCAGAATGAAAATGCAATCAAATGGTTAGTTGCTAACCGGGGCTGCGCCGGACCCCCTAATGTTAGATACTGTATTTGGTCATGATGAATTGTTTATTAGACTATAAGAAATCCTCTTCCTTCTTGTATTGGCAAGGAGTTTGCTTCAACGGTATGCTAGCCTAAGTAAAAATAGACACGGAGCTGCGAAGACCTGATTCTTTGCTGCATGTTTGAGTCTGCAACTTTGTTGTGATAAGACACTCAATCCTAGTGATTGTACTTACTCAACATAGTGACGGTGTAATTACCATCACAGATTGTACGGGAAATTCCAACTTTGGAAAAAACAAATATTTGGCCTACCCAAATTTTGACTACTACCCGTGCGTCTACGTCCTGGATTGGCCAATCAGTGGTGCCCCACGGTGGCGTGATACATGCACGTTTACTGCGGTGCTCTGATTGGCTGACCGAACGTGGCGTGGTAGGTGGGCTGTTTCTACTCTCTAAGTCCTCTTCTTTCCTTTTCATCCCCTCATACCTCCGTTCTTTGGAACAGGAGGCAGGACTTATCGATCCGGCAAAGGGGAACCTGTGATAGTGCAGGGCTTACTTAATCCGGGGGTCACCGGTAGGTGGCAGCTTTGATACTATAGTCACAGGTAACCTGGGTGACCCGACGCCCGTCAAGGAGGGGAGCAAGGGTCACTGCTCCCAGGCAGGAGCCCTGTGTTATAGGTAGGATTAGATGTAATCAAGAGATGACAACTAGCATTAGAATAAAACATAGAGATAAGGGACACTCTATTGGAAGGGGAAAAGTGGCAGAAATCACTTACAACAAACTGCAAGTCCCACTAACTAGAATATTCAGCACCAATGAAGGTTTTAAAGTAATCTGTAAGATGACTTTGATTCAGATAAAATCCTTTCAAAAGAAGCAAGAGATATATTTTACAATGAAGGCCTTATTGTTGTCATGCCACCAGAACAAAAAGCAAAAAGATCAGTTTTTGTTCGTCAAGTCGATCAAGAGATCAGGAGGAAGACCTGAAAGAAGAACTGGAACGCCAAAATAGGTGGATGAAGATTGAAGAAGTCATTAAGATAAAGGACTATACTCATGTTTGAAGAAGTGTCAATGGCTGAGAAAGTTTTACAACAGGGCTTTCTAATATTCAACATGTCAGTCACACCACATCAAATAAAGAAGGAGACATTCATCAGTCTGCAAACTTGCTTCTCCTGCTACAAATATGAAGAACACACAACGAGAGACTGTCCGGAAAAGAAAAAAAGTACTGCTCAGATTGTGCAGGCGACGACCATACCTACACTGAATGTAAGAATACACATGTTGGCTGTCTCAACTGTAAGAGAAACGGGAATGTATACATAGGACATAGGACATTAGCAATGGCATGCCCAATAAAACACATGATAAAAATTACAAGAAACAAGGAAAAAGGAACAAGACAAGAAGGATACGACATACGTCGAAATAGCAAAGAAGGCAGTCCAAAGAGGCTCATAGACCAAATCCACAGTATTAAACCTAAGTGAGCCAATACATGATAAGACAACCAATTAGTATGATCCATGCACATTTGCACAATATCATTGCACCGGATCATACAATGAGGAATTAAGAAATGTTTAAAATTGAATAACCTACCAGAGATGATATTTCAGAATCCACAATCCGAAAACATTTCCAGACAACATATGCAAGCGAACTGAGAGAAAGACTACATCAAGACGAACAAGGTTTGAGCAAGGAGCAACAGCTGACGATACACAAGGAACACAAGCGACTGATAGAGATCCCAGACAAATGACTAGAAGTGACAAAGAGAAGATAGAAATAACAAAAGGACAGACAAAGGAGTAGGAGGAGAGAAGAAAAGATGGAAACTGATCACAATATACAACCTGAATCTGCTGAAGAAATTGGATTAAAAGTTATCACTACAACAAAACATGGAATCCCAACATCGAGACCAACAGGAGGGACAATAGTAAAAAACTGTGAAGGAGGGATATACAAGTGGACATATCAAGAAAAATCCCTAAGTGAAGATTATGTCTGGTCACTAATTACTACGGACAAACTAAAGATTACGGCCAAAGACTTTAAAATAGTAGACCCGTCAGAGTATAGAAGAGTCAGAAGCGGGAAACAGGATGATAGGTCTCCACTCCAACTGACTGCCACAATCAAAGTATAAGAAATAATGGACAATAGACAAACAGTAAGAAC